CTGGCCACTTCTGTGTGTATATATCACTTCATCTGTTGCTGTGTAGCCAGGTACATTGGTCGTCCGACGCGTATTCTGTCCTAAAGGTTTCAAGAGTACTTATCCCACATGGTTAAAAAGGGTAGTAACGGGTGTATAAGGAGTGCGACAATCGAACACCTCGTCAATATTGATCATTCCACCTCAACAAATGCCTCCTTCAAAGTGATCAACAAAGTGAAGAATAACCCACCAAAGGTAATACGCTTTCGTTTCCTTTTTATTACTGAAGCCTTAGTCATTCATTTGGAAGGACCAGAGTTATGTATACAAAAGAAAATCATCCAACCACTTCTACTATCATGGTAAAAACCATGTTGACTTCTACTGACTTGGTGTTTGTGTGCTTGTTTTTTTCTAGCTCCTTATAACATTTGTAGTTCTTAGAACTCTTGCATAATTCCATATTTTTTTTGTTTCTATGTGCGTCCTAATCACAACTCACTCATTAAACTATTCGTCTTGTTACGTAGCCGCATCGCGCTTTCTAAACTTCTTTTATGTGTTGATTAAGAATAATAACAGTTTTTCAACAACGCATCACCACTGCCCTCGGTGGAACAGTGGTTAGGATTCTCGCCGACCATGTAAATGGTCCAAGGTTCGATCCCCTGCCGACGCACACCTGATATCTATGGTCGGCCTGTAAAATTTGGGCTACCGATATCACATGCTGAAAATTCCATACCTGTACCAAAAATACGGTGTGGAATCAAGCTGTAATCAAAAAATAAAATAAAATGAAACAACCTTCATCCCCAACACCCTAGTTACAATTTGAATATTCATCACATTTTTGAAATGTCTTGACAACAATAATCCTAACTTATTTTTATTCTTATCGGACAAACCTAATGCACACACACAAACATAAAAAAATTTGTATATACAATTGGTATTCGAATGTTGGTTTGTAGGGATTTGATTGGTTACAGGATTTTCATCATGAGCTGACATTGGTTAGAGAACCATTGGAAAACCTGGGAGTACTGGACAGCAGTTGTTTCGTCAGCCTAGTTTGGGACTATTCAGCAGTACACACACACCGACAGGGTTCAAACCCAGGACCTTCTGGTTACAAGGCGAGCTCGTAGACTATTGAGCCACTGGGATCCGATCCAATGGCCCACGAATTCTAACCTTTGCGAATTCACGACATAGCGCGACCCCAACCAATGTCTTCGGCGAGTATTTGTCCTCACACCCAACCTGCTGCACCCTACTGGACTCAACTCCAAGCTGTATCTACAAGTTCAGCTGTAATTGTGGTTACAATTATATAGATAGAATGGTCCAATTTCGTCAGGAAACAAAATCAATATCAATGATTGTTTCACAATTATTTCATAACATAACTCTAATTCAAGGTTGGTTATTAAAGGTGATGGAAGCATTTCGGATTAATCACATGCTTCCTAAACTATGTGCAGAAAAAAACAATAGACTTCAACCTTCGCCTACCATAGTCTGCTTGACCTATTTAGAGTACAAAAGTACATACTGGTGACCAATCATATTTAATATGATTGGTCATCAGTATGTACTTTTGTTTCGTATCACTGGGTGATTGTCGTGCACTTTATTTTTTCATTGTGAACCAATCTAGTTGTAAAGCGATTGTAGAGAAATTACGAAATGATATCACATCGCGAAATTTGTCTTCTAAATACGTTATTCACATTTATCAAGGGACTAATTGTTTTAATAATATAATTGCACCGAGGGAGAGGGCTCTCGTGTGGTTGCGCCACAGGATGACCCTGCATGCCGGTCTCGTCTCACAAGAAGCAGGGATGGGTGGGTTTCGTTCTCCTGAAAACCAATGCCCAGTCAATCGGTGTATCACTGTGAGAATATAATTGCAATTGTAGAGCTAAGTGAATGAATTCACTGAAAAGAAACTCTTCGCTGAATTGCGTGTTTTGTTTCCATTAGTATCTGGATAGGGATTATTCATGAATCAATTATACTTAAGTATAAGTCATGTAAATCGACTGGTAACATAATGAATCTGCTTATTATCATCAAGAGTTAATTAAAAAGTGTTAAGAACATAATATCCAGCGAAGAGACTCTTTTCAAGGAGTTTACTATTAAGTTGTACAATCGTATATATGGGTTTTTAAGAAATTATATCCGGTGAGTGTGCGTCGGTGGTATAGCGGTTAGGACGCTCCCCGACTGTGCACATGGTCCGGGCTTCGACCCCCGGCCGACGCAATCCTTTACCTCGCTGAGCCAGAAATAATGCTGGCAAAGAGGAAAGGTTGGGCATGAGGCTATCAACCCCATCCTGTAAAATAAACACTGCTACAGAAACTTCAAGTCACTAGCTTGAAGCCCTATGTTCCACTGGGAAAGTGAAGGAAAAAAAATATTCGGTGAGTGAATTGAATCAGAGGTGTAAATACATGAAATAATAATAGTATGAAATGCAATTATAATATTTGTGATTATCTTCATAGTTAACTGTCAAGTAGCGAAACAATTAATGTCATAAATAGAATTATTCATAAGATGTATAGATGTTGGAAAGGGGTTACAATTATAGGATTAGTAGGCTAATATAAAACGTTACATAACATGGTGTGAAATTTGATTAGATCGAATTCAATATTGTAAAACTTTTACTAGATTTAGAGTGACAAATGGGACAAGCGGAAACAATTCAAAGTGAGAATAGTAATAGTAATAACAGTAATCGTAGTAATGAGCGAAATGTACATATATTAAATAAATAAACAAAATAAATGTCTATCCCTCTACAGTCAAGGCAGAAGTAGGGATTGTATATACTTCTTTTGTACACAAAGGTCTGGCTTAAATTCATGAATAGCCAAAGCCTCCACTATACTAAGAAGTCTATAGCGAAGAAAACGAAGCAAGTTAGCATGGATTCGAAAGATGACCTTAAAATCATGATCAGGGTTGGTAGAGTGACAGGAGTTCATCAGGTGTTCTAGGATAGAGCTTCGCACAGCCCTCTTTTCTCCCTTGTAAAACCATGCTGGAATATGTTCTTGTATCCGTGTGGAAAGCGTTCTCTGGCTACGACAAATGTACCTTCCGCCACAAGAGCAGGTGAACTGATGGATGCACATGGAGGCGGCCAGACGGGGGATCCTATTTTTCCAAAGATGGAGAACAAATTGTGGCTGGTGAAAGTGATTTGTAATTTTGCTGCAAAGAACGTCTTACTGATTGATTCGGAGAGACGGTTTTTGAGCATATCTGAGGCTTGATCACCTTTGAATATTAAGTTCATGAATAAGGTTTTCTTCAGAACTAAGTTGGTGACCAGTTTGGACTACTTATCTTCCATGTTTCTGTCAACAAATCGGTTCGGGTAACCATTTTCTGCAAGCGTGACTTTTAGGAAGTCATGTTCTGAGTCAACACAATCAGAACTACAAATGTTTCTTATCCTAAAGCAGAGTGAATAAATTAGGTTCCTTTTCCTAGAGATACTCACCCAACTATAAAAATTAGTTAGTTATCCATTCAATGTACGTTTCGGGTGCAAGGATCTTTTGAGAGATCAGTCATTGCGTCTACTTAAGGATTCTATGATGAATTGTAAACAAGGATGGCAGTTATTGAACGCACACAAGGTATCATCAAGAATTACGTTCTTACCTCAGATAACAAAAGTGTCGTCTACGTATCTTCGATAAGTTTCAAAATGACCGATGGTTTGACTAAGCTGAGAGTTTTCTAGCTTTGTCATAAAACAATCAGCCACTAGTGGACAAATGAAGCGAAAAAAACTTAAAAATAAGGCTTTTATTATTTTTTTCGAAATCAATTATAAGCAATATATTTTCATATTTGAAATCCCACCGTAGATAGTGTACTAATTTCAGTCAGTTTATAAAAAACTCAACAATGCCCCCTAAATAGGAAAGTTCATAATCACATCATTTTGTGATAAGAGATATGTTTACATAAAGAAGTGAAAAACAGGGTAAAACTAGTAGAAAAAAAATAACACCTTGATTTTGTCATGGTAAATCATGCCTGGCGATGAAAGATACTTATTACTGGTGTAGGTATCTTATCTGAGCTGGATAGTTTAATTGTGAAGCTTTCTCAACTCGGACTTCAATATGAAGTGGACTTATGGGATTCTTTATGAGTTTATCAGCCAGCTCTGATAGGTAACCTTGCGCACACGACTGGATGTTTCTGGAGATTTCCTAATCTTCTAGCCTTTTTGTATTGGTTATTTTGTTGATCTCTTGTTCATGTGACTTCCTTTATTATTGATTGATAGGTCTTATATATGTCAACGTGTCTGTTGAAAGATACATGTCAAGTGAACTTATGGAGAATTCTGAAAGTTCACTTCATATTGAAGTCTGCGTTGAAGGTGTTGTCTAGAAAGACAATCAAAGCTTCACTTCTAAATCATTCAGCTCATAGAACATAACTACAGCAATATCATCCAACTGTGCTGCAAATCCCTTTCATCATAAAATACTTTTCAGAAGAATACGTGTGCTACATACACCATCAGTAAAGATCGCTCCAAATACCACAGTAACGCATCTTTCATACTCTTCATAGAAGTACGGATGTAAGCTTGGCACCTTTTTTTCAAAACTATGAATTATCATATTTTTAGTTTAAGGTAATTTACGATTTGATCACGGATTGATATCAGCTAGGGAACCATTGAAAACCAGGGAGTACTGGACAGGTGCTCCATCCTAGTTTGAGAATCATCGGCAGTACGCACCCACTACGCTTCGAACCCCGAACTTTCTGGTTACAAGACAAGCTCGTATAACATTCAGCCACTGGGACCCTATTCAATGGCTCATGAATTGTAACTTCTACCAATTCGTGATTTTGATTAATAGTTATACACTTTGCATCAACTCGTAAAAACAAACTAACCCATAGAAACCAAACTATAGAAAATTAAGGTAATTCGGTGAAATATATAGGCAACAGCTTACCATTAATTGGAACTTGAAGGCGAGCAACAACAGGTAGATCGGCCAGAAATCGTGATGAAATATTTCCACTAATGCTAAGAAGGAGAGAAAAACTGACTATAAAGTGTATAACTATTAATCAATATAACATTAAAAAAAATTCTGATTCGCTTTAAAATGTACACGACAGGATGAAAATAAGACACTGTATTAGAGTTAAGCACTAATTAAAATACAGAAAAATCTACATAAAATGCCTAAAATCAACAGGAACTATCATGTTAGTATGTGAAAAGTAAACTTATGTGAATGATACAAGTAGTTACAACGGCTTAAGAAATCGCCTCAAGTATTAACAAAATGAAACATGAAATGATATGAAGAATAAATGGTGCTTAAAAGTCATCCAATTAACAGTGCTGTATCGAAGATCAAGTGACCAGAAAGAATAAACAACAAGGAACTCCGGCAACGAACCAGCCAACAACACATTGCTCAACATATATGTAGAATGAAATGGAGAGGAATTGGACGTACATTGAAGAAAGACTATCGAGTGACATTACACCCACACCGGAAGATCATATGAAGAGAAAAAGAAAGCTGGTAGGCGGTCGCAGAAACAGCTGAAATTGATAGGAGAAATTCCAGTGCAACAGAGATGTGCCGCTAAAGCCATATGTTCCCATCGGAACTCAAGGAATGAACAATACTAGTAATGGTAACAAATGGACAAATTTCATATGGAATTTATAATCTACTTTAGCACAAACCACGAATGATACCTTGTAGGAAGGTAGTAGTGGATGTGAATAAACTGCAAAAAGAAAACAAAAGTCTTAGATAAAAGGAACAGAAAAAAGTGGCAACATTACTTGAAAGTCGACGTTCATACCATTCAATCAACATGTGTATATAAATTTTCATTTAGTTTACATATCAGTAAGGAAGTCAACAAATCGAGAATGAAGTTGACGAAACAACTAAGAGGGACGTTTGCACACACCAAAAGGAAGTAACAAATCACAATCCATGTCATAACAGATGGAATAGTTTTCCAACCCAATTCTGTTTAAAGTTTGGACTGATCAATGAAAGCTTCCACCTAATAGAAGCTAAAAAGGCTATGCCAGAACTAACATTTTGTGTAGCTGACTTCTCGATATTTATAGTGTATGATGTGTTTTATTATTATTGTTTCCTTAAGTTCCGAGTAAGACGTAGGACTCAAACAGCACGTCTCCATTTCATTCTGTTCTCTGGGGTCCTCTTTTGCTGGTTCCACGATTTCCTATACGCTCTCATGTTCTCCTTAGACAATGTCTTCAATGTCACCTTTAGACTAACGCCCAACTCACCGTTTCCCACTTAAGGCCCTGCTTGGCGCGTGATGCCACTCAACAGACTCCAAGGTGTGTATGTCCGATCGACCGCCATTTCCTTCTGCATATTTGTTGGGTAACAGCTTCTTGGTTAGCCCGTTGCTAGAGTTCCTTGTTGGTAATCCTTTCTGACCATGTGATCTTCAGTATAGAGCGAAGACAGTTGTTGATAAAAGTCTGCAGGTCTATTGGAAATGCTTTCGGTGACGTGCCAATGAATATATTAAAATATAATAAATTTAAGTAATGAAAAAAGAAGGGAAACGCCTGCATAACTCATGATCAACTGAACTAGAATGCTAACACTCGACTCAAACAAATTGATATACGACTATGAAGTGAAAATATCTAATATCAATTGTTAACAATCGATATATATTCAATTCAAATGTTATTTTCTATCTAAAATACATTTTTTATCAGTATTCTAACTTATGCTTGATGTGTTTGCAAGGAGATAAAAACATTGAAATGTGAAGAATACATCTAAAACTTATGACTCCATACTCCAGACAAAAAGAAAAACAATGGCTTAAAGATAGCTGAGCAACTGATAAGTAAAACGAAAATGGATTGAAAAGCCTCACTAATCCTTAATTTAATCATTCTATTCAAAGCACTCAAGTATTTGTGTATCATCCTATTAATGAGTATTATTATTTTGCACTTTTATGAAGTGTAGCAACTTGAACTGATTCACTTCTGTGAGAAGTTTTACATTGTTCCATCATCGAGTGATAATGATAACAAAGTGGATCACGAACATCAACCTAATCATTTAACATATCATTAATTTGATGGCACTCTGTAATTACAATTGACCACACATTGAAGTACTGAACTGCTGATTAAGTGACATACATTCTCTTTTATATATATAATATCATAATTACTGCCCAGCGCAAATCGACTAGGATGATGTGTTTTGATATCACTCGTGTAGTAAAGAATAATCTGTTTACTCGGAAAACATATTCATCGTTGTTTCAATCGACTATTTGATTTCAAATAATCCAAAAGTAAAAGCACTTGGCTCCTACTGCCAAGATAGACTGAAGACCACCGAGTAACCGCACCCACCTCTCTCCACAGATATTATAGACGAACATTTGATACACTTACAAGACGCCATGAGAATGGCGATTAAATGCTGTTTGTGACTTTGAAGTCCCGCTGAAAACCCCTAGGTTTCTGGGATTTCCTTACAATTTCTTGACGCTTGTTGGTCCATCTCAGAGGATAACGATTGCAATAACCTGCATAAGAGTGCACAGTGCTTATATAAAGACTGAGAAGCTTGGTAATCAGAGCGTGTATGCATGAGATGGAATTAGCAGTTGTTCTAGGCTAGTCGAGTCATCGACATCATCTTTTGAAGCCTGTATTGTATCAAGTTTGTGTTTAAATAATAAATAAAAAGTATATTCGACATTTTAGGTACAGCTTTTATGATTTAAAAAAGTAATTAAATTGCATTAAAAAAATTATTGTTATAATCATTATAAAAGCCGCTAATTTCCAACGGATTATACGAATAATAATAAATGGTTTTTCCTCTCTGACTTACCTACTCATAATAATTGCCAAAATCAATGGAACGATAGTCTCCTTGAAAGTAGTAGATGTTATAACAAGATTGCTAAATTCAGGCGATATATGCATATTGGAGTGATACAATAAGTAGGCAATACTTAGGAAAAGAACGATGCAGGTTATGCATATAGCAGCAATGAAAGTAAAAGTTGGATCTGGATGAAAGCAAATTGTCAAGAGAAAAATGGAACAGTAGCATAAATAAATAGTAAATTATCTTATGTATCAACAGCATATTTTAGTAAACTAAAATAAAAGAGGATTTAAATCCCCAACATCTAAACTGAAAGGGAGGCTAATACTGCATAGTGTATCCCTCTCGACATAATAAACAGTGGTTAGAGAAACTGACGACAAAAAAGACAGCGGTTAGCATTACCTATGTATCCATAATCATTTTTAGACAACTCTGTCAAGAAGTGAAATGCTTCTGAGGCATATAAAAATTTATTAAGCATTTTTCAGTGTTGGTTAAGGCTGTAACTAATCCCAAAAGTTAAAAGACAATTTAAATATATATTGAGATAATTGTGTCCAAATTCTAGGCCAGTCATAATTTCATGTATCTAAAATCCTCTAGTCACCAACTGTATCACAATAACTCATGAGATTGATTCTACCGATGTAATGTGTATATCGATTTCATGTCCATGTGTTCCTTAGTCATCATTTTGTTTGGCCAACATACTTTTGAGATTTGACCTGTTGTTTTAAAATACAAGCTGTATATGTGCTTGTTCACATTTACTGAGGCAACATATTATTCGATTAATGAAGTTTATGAATGTCCCAGTTTATCCAACATATGGGCCGATTCGGCGATGTCAACAGTTTCTGTAATTATTATCGTTATCTGTATTCATCTTGTCTCTTTAAGTACTGAATCCTGCAGTTTACACAATGTAGTATGGTGGGATTTCGTTGAGTTGTGTACCAAAGATGAAATAGTCAAGTGACACTTCCTAAAATAGTTTTGATAAATATCTTATTAGATTATTATTCACCCCCTGAGTTTCCACTGCTAGATAAGGCTTCAGCAGAACATCACAGTTTTACCCTGTTCTCTGCAGTCTTTTTCAGCTAGCTCCAAGAATGCACAGGGTCTTTCCCACGCCCCCCCCCTCGAACGGCCGACTCGTCGATTCCCATTCGGGTACCATTCTTCGGCCTACCCTGAGCGTGATACCACTCAACGATCCCCTTAGCATATACCTAACAGGTTATTGGTGGGTCTACTGCACTGCCATAGTTCCTTGTTGCTTGGTCTTATCCTACCGGCCATCTGATCTGAAGCATTGAGCGAGGGCAGGCGTTAGCCATACAGACGGCAAGATAATTGATTTTTCTGGTTTGAGTAACTGTGTTCTTTTGGTTTGTTGACGTGAAAAAATTTCGATGAGATTAGTAGGATACTAACTGGCCCTGGAAACGTTTTTCGAGATAAATTCCTTTCACCTTTTGTTTTATAGTACTGGAGTGAAATTTTATGCAGATAAACAAATATGGTACATGAGTCCTTTTGTGAGGCACTAGTTAGTAGTTTAAAATTCAATTTGTGCTTTGCTTTTCAAAACACTTGAGTTTACTTTTCGGTAAGGGTAACTGCTACATTTCTCGACTTGGATGTTAGATTGTATTGAGCTAATCAAGAAAACTGACAGAGGTGTGTCTCTTGAAACTATTCCAAATAGTTTCCACTAAAAATACCCACGATCTCTTCTACTGTTCAACATTTTCCTTAGCATGCCGGTAAAAACATATTTACTCACAGAATACTATGAATTACCTGTCTGTCACAAAAGCCACTCATCGACTTTACAAAACATTTTATTCCTTTGTATTCCAAGTGGAACTAAAAGCCTCAAGCGTTGGAGTTTCAGTAGCAGTGGAGTTGAGTTTATGGGGTGGGGCTGCAAGCATCCCACTCAACCTTCACACTTTTGTTGGCTTACTACCGGTAATTAGACCAGGAGAGGTTTAGAAGTGCGCCAACCAGAGATCGAACTACAGACTGCGTGCATGGTTGGCGAGCGTTTTACCATTAAACCACAGACGTATTATTTACAAAATAATTTTAGTGTATTGAAAGGTAATTTTTCAATTAGGTTATTTTAAAATAACTGTGATGTAAAACAAAAATCTTATTGTTGAAATCTAAACTTTATTGACGTTATATGTTATTTCTAGGACTAATTAATATTGATTCGTTTTCCTAACAATGGGATAGGCTAAAATTCTGTCCCCTCGCTGGCACTTCTATTTAATCGACATACATACATAAAATAATAAAATCCAAAGAAACAAGCTTTTTTCATTCCCTTGCGCTCCGCTTGGAACATAAGGCTTTAAGTTTGGACTTTTAACTTTCAGTGGCGGTGGTATTGTTTTTACCGGGTGAGGCTGTTAGCCATAAGCACAACCTTCTATTTTCACCCGACTTACTACTGGCTAAGAGAGGCTTAGGAGTGCATCAGCCGGGAAATGAACCCGGACCACGTGAGTGGTTGGCGAACATTCTACTACTGAACCACTGACGCCAATGAAACGAGTGTTACGGTTAGAATTGCTTGGAGGTGTCGGTTTCACTTTGAATATGACTGGATTTTCAGCAGAATTAGCGAATGACAACAAAACATAACTACAGTGGCAATAGTGCAGTGGTTGTTGGATCAAAAATGATAGTAATTATAGTAAATTCGTCTAGAGGTTTATATGACATACTATAATATCAAAAACATACGGAGAGAAGATTGTCTAGTGATTATCAAACTAATAGACATATTGGAGATTCAATTGGTGTTCAATTCAATCAAAAAACGACAACAGCTAAAAAACTACTGTAGGCTGAAGAGTATTAAACAACTGTTTGTCAAGTAAACAGTGTTATATATATATATAATGCTTTTAAGTCTTCAGTGGTTTATTAATTGATTCGGGTTATGACGAAATACACGAGATAACCAGCACAATTTCCAATGGATTGCTTTCCTTATACCAAACTATGAGAACTGTAAATGACACTGTAAGAGCTGAAAAATGAAAAAAAGTCTTATCTTAACACCACAACGAATACGTCTTCAGTTACTGAGAAATGTGTTGATCAGTTCATTACTAGTGTAGTATTTGTAGATGGAACGAAAAAAAAATTATTGCTACAAAAAACTCACATTTCATAAAATAGCCATTTACACGTGACATGATCAAAACTGTTGCAAGGTCTCCTAAAGCAGCAGCTGCCGGTGGAGCAATATTGTCAGGATTTGCACCGAAGAACACACATGCGCATACTATTGCATACACTAGAACACCTTAACGATTTTTCGTCAATGAAAAGAAAACTCTTACTTATTAAACATGAAGCACAAACACAAGTTACTGATGAAATACAAATAAGATGGGCGATATTAATAGAAGAGTAGGATATTAGTGATGTTGAAATATGCACAGTTGTAATCACTACAGGAATGGCGATGCTTGCAAGAACTGCAAGAATCTGCAAAAAAACACATAAGACAATGCTAAACTTAACCAGTATAAAAGCCAATGTGGTTGTAAACAACCAGGATGAAATTTCACTAAACTTTCGTCTAAAATGAACCTGAAAACATCTAAAAGATTAATTTATTAAACATACCACAGTGGCAAGTCGAGAAGAAAGAGCAACTTCTAAATTGCCTTTAAGTCCAAGAACAGGTGGAATGATTTCGAAAATATTTGCCTCACTGGAATTAAAAATGCTCTAAAGAAATGTCGGTTATTATTAAGCACCATACAGAAGACTTCAACATATCAACATAACAGCCTGCGACTACCATACCAACTCCCGCCAATAAGCAAGCAGGGAATATTTCACGAGCAACATAAGATATGTGTCGAGAAGAGGACATTGTGAAATATGTATTCAAGCAATGAGAACACTCGGCATTTTGTTCAGATCTTGACCGACACGTATTATGAACATCTAAGAATATAGGAAACAATGTTAAATTGTAATAAACTTACAGACTTTGTTTGTGAAACATTCTCCAAATGATGAATTTATATATATCAACACTTCTTGCAATCTTGTTTATTCTGAAAACCGATACAGGTTTAAAAATAAGCGAAATAACACTAGAATTCTGAAAGTGATTCATCTAATAAACATTACAGATAGTGTTTGAAGAAATTAACTGTCAGGAAACTATATGAGACACTAAACTTTAGATAACTGTAATTGCAAGTTAAACTTAGTACAGGTGAGGTATCATGCTACGTTGCTGAATGGAAATGTTTCGGAAAACATGTGGGTATAAATTACAGATGCTTAGACACTGGATTAAATTAACACAATCACTGCAATATATTTTACGCAGACCGATAGACCTGACAACAAAAGACAAAATCAATCTATAAGATAAACCGAATCAACTGTGAAAATCACTACAATGGCCAAAAAAGATGTTTGAATCATGTTTGCATCCCTAAACAGCAGCTAGCACTTAAAAGGCATGACATACATTATCTCATATCAATTCACCTGGACAACCATTGACATAATTTTAACCGAGTAAATGTAAATACCTTAAACAGAGAGGAGCAACGAATGAAGAAGTAGTAGGACCTATGTACCCAGACTAATTCACAAACATATGCCTAAAGATCACATATACAATTCAATAACAAATAAATCACACGACAAAAAGTATAAAAAGGGATATCGAGACGACCAATCTTAACACTGGTGAATATAATCCTAAAGAAATTGTGGGGGACAACCGATTACTACCAAGGTCACCCGAAGAGATGCTTATTGCATTATTAATGGAGAATATTTTATATTTATTTATTTAAACGCATAAAAACTTAGTACAGTATGGCACCAAGAAGGATGCGCCACACAATAATAATAAAACAACATAGATCAAAAGAAAAAAAGAAAGAGAAAAAAATATATATAAGTAGAGAACGGATAAAGAACTTCATCTGGAAGGAAAACAGTCATGCTTAACAAGTCCAAACAGTATTCGTTAGCTATCATCAGGAAGGGAAGAAAGAAGGAAATTGCAACACATGTAATAGCATGCGATAAGTTTCACTGATTGTTTGTTGCTTTATTCAATTCGTTGTGTGATAACTGCTACCTTGTAGTGGTGATCGGGCTTGAATACCGTAATGACCCAACATGCTAAACTGACTGGGACTCTGTCCCTGCAGGTCCTACCATGTCAGGAAGGTTGTTTGGATAGCGGTTAAACTAAAAGCAGTTACCATGGGGTACATAGGCTCCAGTATCCAATCGGATCAAATGGCGTATGAACCCATATGGGTCACCGGAAACCATGGGAATGCAGCTCCTGACGCTGCTCCGCTGCCTTGCGGATTGAACTCCAAGTCAAATGTTCGGGGAGTGGTTCCTTAATAAAACCACCTGCTTCGGTCTGGGCACCCGGGCAGTATCTCAGCCCTCACACAATGAACTGAATACTGAATAAAAATGGAGAATTCTAAAAGCACACTTCACACGGAAGAAGCTTTACAACCAAACTATTCAACTCAGAGAACATAACAATGAATACATGCTCAGTGTGATACACATACCTTTAACTAACACACAAATCATGCGTTATCACAAATAGAAATGAGAAGTGTAAATTTATTGCTGTTTGGTTGAAAAGGTGAATGTTGATGAGGTAAAAAAAGAACTCTACTTTCGATAACGAGAACAATACCGCCTACATAATTGTGCAACAATTCAGATCAACTTAGTTTTCCTCGTTTAATATATTCGTAAGCGTAGTTTGAATTTCACCACATCTGATGGCCAATATTATTTGCTTGTTAAGTATATTAAAGGGAAGAGAACAAGAAGTTCAACAAAGATACCTTCTCGGCGATTTCATTCTCAAAAGATGTACATTAGCATTTATATACATAAGTTTACACAGATACAATTATTATTTATTTGACTACATATAGTAACGAAGATAATTAAGGGTCATAATAATTTTCAACTTGATATGAAAGTTTGAAGGTGTGAATATAGATTGCAAGGGGGTTAGAGACAACATTACAATAGATTAGAAAACAGTTACAATATATGTAGAATTAATATTTGACAACTGGAGAAATATTATTATTGTTAATTTTACATACATTGTAACTATTTTATAAACTATTGTAATCTCTCTAAGCCCCTTGTAATCTATATTCACACCTTCAAACTTTCACATCAAGTTGAAAATTATTATAACCCTTAATCACCTTCGTTACTATGTGGAATCAAATAAATAATAATTGTAGCTGTGTAAACTTATGTATATAAATGCTAATGTACATCTTTTGAGAATGAAATCGCCGAGAAGATATCTTTGTTGGACTTCTTGTTCTTTTCCCTCTAATGTACGGATGGGTATTTTGCAAGAATTATGTGAAAATATCAAACTATAAGTGACGAATCTAAGATACAATTCGTCCTTCGATAAACCTAATCACGGCATGCAGAGGACGCGAGTTATAAGACAATTTTATTTCACTACAAAACTGGTATGGTTTACGGGAATAAAACTGATTAACAATATTTCAATTGTGCAGCAACAAAAATGCACTAGCAACCAATCATTTCAGTAGATAAAGTAACCCAAGGAAAACAGAAGGGAGAAATTTTTGAACAGATAATTCAAGGCTAATATAATCTTTTAAAGTGACTCAATGACACTAACAACGTCAAAGTAGATATGTATTAGCAATTAAAAAAATATTAACTGTATGAGTAGCCATGTATTGATGCATAACAACATTCTGTTGAATCTCCATTCGAGCTACCTACATTTATGCGACCTAACAGACATTCAGAAATGTTCTTCTAGTAACATTGAATCATTTTATTAGCTGGAACAGTCAAATAGTCAATACTGAGCAAAAAGTAATAAATAAACAATGTTTTTGTTTGCACTAAGTAGTAACCAATTTGTTTAAATAGTTTCCAGCTTAATGCTCTAAAAAATATGTACCTGAGTTCCAATAGAGGACTGGGTCTAGTGCATATATTCAATTTCGTAAGTTAGTGTGTATCTAGAAGACTTTTTTGAACACTACGATGGAATATAACTACCCATAGGTGTGACAGCTATATATATATATATATATATATATATATATATATATATCAGCCTATAAAATCGACATGAATTACATATATTTCTGTAATACGATACTGGCACATTTGACACTGTTCAACTTAAAGAAGTGCTAAATAGTTATAAGACTACTGTAGTAAGGGCATAATCCACTTTTTTATCTGTTGACTGAGGTGCTCAGTACACTTAATTTATCGTCTGATATAAATTCAAACATCACGAAAATGTTTGCACAGATAATTAATTGGAACTATGGACTCGAAGTTATTCATTCCCCGTTATTATCTCTGATGAGACTATCAAATAAGAAGCCCATAGAATGTACAGCCTCGATGTATTCTTTGTACTAAAAGGAAAATTCAACAGGGACGAAAGAAAGCTACCGATTTTACATAATTTGAAAGTTGAGTCTAACACTTCATTCGCCTGGTTTTACTTATTTACAAAAACAGAAAGTCCACCATAATAAAGAGAAGTATTGTGTCACAGCCAAGAGAGTACATTGTTCGTCTTATCAATGTTTACATTAACATCCTACATTGGCTGTCATTAGAAGACAAACATATCAATACATTTTACACTGAGGTTAAAGTTTCTGTTGCCATTAAAGTTAATTACTACACGACGTTAGTTAGTAAGCTGTTCGCAAAAAATATGATTAAAAGTAGCGATATTCAGCTACCTGAATATGGACGAAGGATAATTGTGCAGTTAACAGACAATCTTTAGACACCAAGCTAAAATGTCCACACTTGATCTGTGCTTTTTACTCGAGCAATCTATTTTAGTTATTACTTAGAGGATTACACTAATAGAAAATATAACTGCGCCATTAATCCGTCGTTGTTTATAGAATCCCACTGAAATTTTCGCTCGGTCCCCAATGTTTTTCCACTATTAGGTGAAATCCTGCTAAGGGTTCACGTAGATTTGCACAAATGCTTTGATCCTTTTTGAATAAAAACATCTGCTGGTAAGGAAGTCACACAGCTAGTCGTGACAACCAATTACTACCAACAATGAGACTGGCAGATGAAAGGCCATAGCCATCTCTCTTAAACCAATGTTTTACGCACTATGTCCCATTTTATCGATCCCAGGATACTCCCCGACTACCTGCATAAATACATGTTTTACTCATTTGAGTGTAGTTATCCCGTCAAGCAAAAAGGTAGAGTCAACAGGAGGTTTATGTAACGTCGGCGACTGACACAGCAAACGTCAGCAGCCATAATAGTTGATACGTTCCTCTAAACTTCAAACAGTTTCTGTCATTGTTTAAACACAACGTTAAGGAATTACTAAAAATTACGACACAGTAGCACGATGCTCTTTTGTAAGGTTTACTCAGGTCTATATACTTTATACTGGCTAGCAATAGTTTCACTTGGAAAAATACTGGAGATAAGGTCAGTCAGTTTTCAAAATCAATAGACGAGGGAGACTTGTTGGCAGTTTGACAAATTGAACTTTAAATACACCTTGTGTTGTGAATTAAAAGATTCTTACATGAAATGGGATATATTTCAGGCAAAAGAGCTAGGAGTAAGCGAAGTTCAACGTAAAAGTAGAAAAGACAAGAGAACAAACCAGGACCACGGGGACTAAAAAGGCAGTATCGCGCATTTCTATTTACGCGGCTAAAGCCGATATATTCAAACTTCCCTGTAAACTAATATAATGAAACTAGTTTCTAAATTTGTCCCAACCACAAACCAATTTTGACTTGGAGATAGAAAATCACTTCCTGCTTTGTTCCGGTTTCCACGAATCTTGAGTGAAAAGATATATAAAGGCTTTAGAGGATTAGATTGACTGAAATAAGAGTAAAGCTTCCAGAGAATTAACCCCATGCTCCATATTAGTTTGTTTATTGAATGTATCGCACAGTGAAACAGCATTATTTACTGGGTGACGTTACAAAGAAAATTTATTGTTCATAATCATATCAGTTATAATCACACGACTTCGAAACTTGAGTTTTATAGTTTTCACTGTTCTCCCCTATTTGTTGTAGGGCTAGTAGAATTTTGCTCGAAACGTCATACAATAAATAATGCTGTTCCGCTGTGTGATGTATATAATAAACAAACTGATATAGAATCACTTACTACCACAGTGCCCATTTTTACATATATATTAATATAACCCCGTGCTCCCAGAGTAGTCTATCACTTCAGTAAACTGTGACGTTTCGGATTTTATGTAACACATGTACTCCTAGACGTAAACGCTGTAAATGAACCTTAAAGTTGCAGGGCACATTATCTGCACTGGAATAAAAGTAGACCTAAGAGTAAAAAATTCGAACACTCAACAAACATGTTGCTGATCTATATTTCAATGCCAAAGGGGTCACGAGATTCGCTCTAGCGAGTAGGTACAACAGCAAGCTTTGACACCACTTTTAGACTTACCTTGTAGTGGTGGTACTCACAAAGTGCACAGATCAGAAGTAATGGAACCCATTCATTCTCTGACCTATTTTTTTCCTAAAATAATTTCAGCTCCTGTTATGTCTAGAAGTATTGCTCTTCGCAGCGTATAGTTAAAAATTCTGGTCTTTTGACTCTGTAAGCTACTAAATAAGCAGGTATTAGTGTACACGAAAACCTTCCTCAGTTCACCGATTCCGGCCGTAATCTATAAAGAGGGGGAAGGTCGAGAATAGAAATAGTGCCTCCACCCCGTTGAATCAATCCAGTCAATAGAGAAACTTCAAACCACGGAAAAAATCAAAAATAAGCCTACTTATGTTGTATTATGAAAGACGAAACGACGCAGAATAGTGAAAGGCTTCTGTAAGCAAGTGAGTGTATAACGATAACACTATTCTCATTTTTCATGCATTAGGAGGCCAGTTTACAGGCATCATCAATATGATTAATTACATTTACCATTGTTAAGCATATTTAGTGGCGATAATATAATATAGGGCATGTGTCCCTCTTTGATGAAAGTAAAAGTAAACATGGAGAAATTGAAAGTGTGCACAGTGTGAGAAGTGAGGACGTCTTCCTACCTCGCCATCCATATGTAGGCATAATACACGCTCAAACAGAATCATTATCTCTTCACTTCATGAGTGATACTTATCAGCTAACTCTCGGAAATTTCAGTGTCACAAGATTGGTCACTAAACTCTTGTTCACCCAGTATTGTTTTTTTTTGCATTCACCTAAGTGGTTGTATGAATTTTTATCCGAAAACTAGAAAGATTTACTTAGGTTTTTCTGTATCTACTCTGAAGACATGCGTGTTCATAATACAAGAGAACTGCGTGCCTCAACGCCTTCCCCCAGGACTAACTTGTTTCGCTGATGTAATTTACCTATTAGAAGAACCCAAGAATCTGTGACTCGAATAATCTTTATGTTGGTAGATGAAGAATAACTCGAGGGAAGATGACCTGTGCTACTTGAAAGATATAATGCCTATTTATGTGTTTGCCACCATGAATCATGATGGTGATATAGGTCGTTTCATCAGTTGTGTGAATAAACTTATCCGGCAGTAGTTATGTTGGCAGCATAATACCATGTAATTAGGTATAGGTCAACTCAACTTCAACGCAGGTGATATTAAAGGACAAATGTGAGATCCAGATCACTGCGTGTTACATCGTCATCGGGAAGCACATACAATTGTGGTCAACCCCCTACTTCCGCTTCTTCAACCTTGAAAGGGCCTTCGAAAGTGTCAACCGTGAAGCGGTTTGGAGACTTATTCGGCACTATAGAGTGAAGTGCTGCGAATGTTTACGAATTTAACAGCTGTATGATAATGCTACATTTCAAAGGATTCACAGCGCTAAGCCTAGTGAAGTACTTGGATCAAAGGTGGGAAGAAACTAAGACTACCTGTTATCACCAATGTTAGTCCTGGCCGTAGTGAAATGGATAATGCAACAGTCCGTGTAGAACCGGCGGGGGAAGCTCTGAAAGGAAAATGCACCTCTGGAGGGCCTGTGATACGTGGAGGACTTTTGCCCAATTTCTTGTGGACTCGATCATGGTAATAATACATATTTCGTAATAAACGGGTAAATTTACATGAAATACATGCCATCTCAACAGGAAAGTTCAGTCACTTTATAAGTTACAGTTTTGAATTATCATAGAGTGGCTGTCAATGAACGACAATATTGAACGTTTGTTTTTGGAACTGGTAGCCATTGATGGGCGACTCAAAGGCGCGAATGGTTTGATCGTGTGAAGTTCGTTGAGGACAAGCAAAAACGAATAAAAGTACTTCAGTGTAAATGATCAGCCTGTAGCCCACCTATCAACAGATGTTAATGCTAAACTGGAGCTAATAATAAAAGACAGCAGTGGTTGTAATCTTGCAGTTAGACGACCTTCTAAAAGCCGAACAACAACAGTTCCTGATCCACCGCTAAGTTCACAAACTTGTGTGACTCAGTCGTCGTTGGTGTTGTCATCCACAATGAAAGGGATATCCATGAACTCACGTGTCTTTTGCTATGACTATGCTGGTATCGGTCCGTTTGAAAGGACAAAAGTCAATGGTCAGTTTAGTGATGATAAGTCACCTGTGTATGAGAGGGTAATTGTCAAGCTGATTTGCACGAATAAAAACATTTCAAGTTTCAAGTTACTATTTGAATGTTGTTATCTTTAGTGTATATTACTCTGTAATCACGCTTGGTCGATCAGGTACTTTGTGTGTTTGTTAGTCATCTATATTCTAAGATACAATGACATGGGTGTGTTACCGTTCAGATTTGAGGATATAGATGATAGAAGAAGGTCGGCAAATGAACTCTGCGACGATTTTCCAACCTAGGGTGTCAACCTGAGAAGGGTTGCAGGCGTACTGGTGTAAGTCCTGAGATTCTTCAAAGGAATTCCACCAAGACATGATCGGCGAGGTTATTTGTACTGTTTGTATATACGTGTGGTGTGTCATATCAATTGGTGTTTTTTGGATTAATTGTGTTTACTTGTTGCCTTCATATCTTGTTGTTATTGCATAATTTTGTTAAAATTTTCGTCGTGATTACTTCTGAAGTTGTTTCGAGTCTTCTACATCCGTGAATGAATTGATTGATGTTAGGGACAGCCGATGGGTCGTATACGCCGGGGAGGCTAGGCTAGTGCTGAGAATGACATGCATACGGAGATAATTGTTAGCTGCGGTCCTACACGCCGGGGAGAAAGAGTGTAAACGACAGAGTCTCGCATACGTCACCGTTACTAGAATTGAGGCAGAATGAGTGACAAGCGATTGCAGTGGTAATTGGTAGTGAGTGGATAAGACGATGTGCGTAGAGTATCGTGAGGTGGTGCTATGGTCACGTTGCATTCTGCAAGAGTCATTCTAGCAAGTGGCGATTTTGTTGCAAGAGGAGGTATCAAGAGGAAGCATTTAACTGGAAGGCGTAGGTCGTCGTCGATGTGAGAGATTGTGCTGTGGGTATGCATGTGGTGTGTTGGTTTTCTGTTTGTTTTCCATTTCAGCTCTGTCCGTGTGACCAAGGTTCTCGCAATGGCATCCAAGTCAACGTGTATTGGTCGTGATGGAAAAAAGGGATGGATCTGTTATTTGCCGGGGAGTGTCAATGTAGTTGAAGATTGAACGATCAATTCATGGTTGTTTGCTCAAACCCAACTTCCCTATATTTTCGCGGAGACATCGATACACCAGTCATCGTCTCATCGTTCACTGTTCAGAGGGAAGATTAAAAAGCTATCAGAAGTAATATCGTGATTTATTGTTATAACATTTGTTCTTAGACCTTTCTCTGTAGCAACAGTATTGTTGGTTTTATGTTGGCGTTAGAATAAAGAATTCTTGAGTCGCCAGTGTTTTGGTTTTTGAGTCGGTTAATACTAAGCCTCTCTGAAAATCTTCGAGGGACAGCGTGAGGTCCAGCGTAGTAAGAGATGGACATTGACAGTTTATGAGACTTGACTGACAACACAGAACAATAATATTAGTTCACACATAATATAAAAGTTGGAATAACGGGACCAGTTAGTCAGCTAGTTAGTGTACCAAAACAATCAGTTACTTTCACAGAATATGTATATACATTTATAAATCACTCCTTGAGGACTCTGCTTACTTTCTTCTGCGATGCTGCGGTTTGTCTTCTTTTTTCTCTCTCACCATTTTAGCTTCTATATAAATTTTTGAATGAGAATAAGGAATGATGTTAATTGATTAATTACAATGACAAATGATCTGCAAAGACTACTGGTCCCATATCCTACAACTGCCTCCAAATTACCCATTACCTTCATTCACGACGCATCCTGGATTACAGTTGTGGAATATACCTTTATACCGATAAAAAGTATTGATTTATAATGCTTCACGATCGTAATTTACAACATAACTGATCGTGTCTGTAAAAATAGCTTGCATTTCTTGAGGACACCCGTTTATAAGAAAACATAATTCACTCGTGAAATGTAGCACGATGTTCCCGAGAAAGGATCTAGTGCAGGGGTCAGCTTTTTTACCGGTGTGCATTTCTCAACTAGACCTAGGACTGAAATATTCACATAATCCATTATTTTCACGGCATATCTTGAAAGAAGTATCGAAATCACACAGGCTTATTGGTTTCCTACTGAGGAACTTCTACACAAGTGAATTCAGAATACTACTGTACAAGGTTTGTATGCGCCTACTCCTAGATTAC